CGCCAGAGAAGTTGCCCGTGCAGCCCGCCTCTCCAGGTCCATAAGTAGCACAGGCGGAAGGACTCACTTCCTTTTGCGGAACTCAGCAAGTGAGAGGCTGTGTCCACCGCTGCCAGCTCTGTGAAAGGCCGCGAAGGGACCCAGGCTCCGGCCGAGTCAGGTAAGGACCTCCACTGAGAGGGAGGACACCCCGCTTCCGAAGCGGCTGTGCAGCCCGGCCTCACAGAGTCTCGCCTTTGTTCCGGGGCAGAGAGGTGCCCAAGCGTACAGCTTGGCTGAGGTGGGCTTGTATTTTCACTCTGGGGCCTTCGGGCAGTGGGGATGAACGGCACTGGATGTTCTCCTGAAGGAGAGGGAGAAGGGGCCAAGGATACCGGCAAGGACCGTGTATCTGAGGCCCCGGGAGACCATTTGGGTGCCTGAGCCATGCGCTCAAAATGGACGGCAGGCCATGAGCACGGTCTCATGTGCGCGGGGGGAGCGGAGGGCCCTGCAGAGGGGGGAGGGACCGGGTCCTCATAGGAGGGCTGTTCACGTGTGCACGATACCCACGGGAGAACACCAAGTCAGGGCGCAGGTGTCACGGATGCCACAGGATTGACCGGGCACCGCTTGTCCCTCTCCCATTACTAGCGGACGCCATCGAGAATAGCAGGCTATTTTCGTGTTTTTTTTTTTTTCTTTTAATTTTAAAGGGGAAAAAAAAAGTTACATAAAAAGAGGAAAAAAAGCCCTCAGAAGAATAAAAATGATATATCATTTCAAAACAAGATGGCAGGGCTGGGCATAAAGGTCAACGCCAGGGGCGCCTGCCTGGCAAGTGCAGGGTCGTGTCGATTTCTGGTGCCAAAAAACAAAAAAACACAAAAACAAATAAATGAAAACAAGATGGTAGGAAATGAACAATGGTTGTGGTTTACATACTCTGACAGTGTTTTCAAAGCAAGATGGTAGGGCTGGGGATATAGCTCAGCACCAGAAGTGCCTGCCTGACAAGTGCAAGGTCCTGAGTTCGATTCCTGGTACCAAAACACAAACAACACACAATCAAACAAATGAAAACAAGATGGTAGGAAATGAACAATGATTGTTGTTCACATACTCTGAAAAGAGGGTAACAGGGATGTGAAGGTCTCAGTCTGAGGGGAGAGGCTTCAAGTCAGCAAAGGGGAGCTCCCCAGCTACATAGGAGTTATGGTAAGGATCCTCTGTGAGGATTGAGGACACACATGTCCTGAAGCAAACGTGGAATAGGGAATAGGGATGTGCCTACCAACAATGCCCTCCATTGTGTGGGGTAGGGTTTGGTGCTAATAGTAATGAGGGACTTCGTCTAAGCGGGAAGGCTTTAGGTGCACAGTAGGAATATTTCTGCATATTCCTAGAAGTTAAAGTGAGTACTAGGAGATCTGAGGTAAAAAGCAATCAGGAAGT